TTAGATTTACAATAATGAATAAAAGAAATGTTCGCTGATTGTAATACGACAGCGATTGGATGAACCTGATTCAAAAAATCATCTAAATGTTGAATACAATAGACTGGATAGCCTAACAAAGAATCTAGTTTATTAAGATTTTCCAACCAATTGAAGCAAAGAAAAACATATTCTTGATCATTATTCCATGAATATCTAATTATACTAGTTATTTTGCCAAATATCTAAATAAAAAATATTCACTCTCAGATTTTAATAAAAAAAATAAAAGTCCAAATAATTTAATTGCTCATTACATAAATTATATTTGATAACCTTATCTGAAATATCTGTTCACTTTTATCAATTAGTATTGCTTCAACCATCTTACCAACTTTCAACTTTATATTATAATAGTCATCATTGTCTTTAGTTATTTTATATATCACATTTTTATAAAAATAAACTTGTGTCTCTAATAGAACTTAATCTGATAAATAATATAAATGAATATGCTTTTATGATATCTTTAAATAAACTATTTTGTTCAATATTAGTCAATATAAAGCCTTTGGCTTCAATTTGATATCTAGTCTATCTTTATTCTAGTTTTATTTCAGAGCAATTAAAGAGTTCAAAATTGGTAGTAATGATAGAATTATCTAAAAAAGCAAATTTAAAAAGTAAAAAAAAAAGTAAAAAAAATATATGTTAGTTTTTTTTTATCTTCAATTTATAATTGATCAGATTCTTTATTCAAATAGTGTATTGACAGGCTGTAATTATTAATATACCAACCAGATAATAATTGGCAATATCATGTTGTTGCAATTAATAGTTTAAAAATAGATTGTATTAAATAATGAGGCATTTGATTGTCTGTTCTACCATCAGCAAGGTATCGTAAAGTTTGTAAAATATTTATTTGTCATAATAGGGTAAGTTCTAGATTATACATATTGGTATATAGAACAATCACCTTAATTATTTGATGCACTATTTCCTTTGTTTTAACTACTATATTTATACATGTTGTATATTAATATGCATGGTCTACCAAATATCAGATTATATATAAATTAGGGAGGTTCTTAAAACTATCAGGAAAAAGCTTAAAATAATGTAAGTTTTTTTGTAATAATCTAAACCAAAATAATATTAGAACAATAAATACCTTAATTAAATCATCAAGCTCGTTATTTAATGCAGTTTGTAGACTAGAATATTATTAAATCATTGTATAGTTAAAGAAAATAATTTTTTAGCTAACTTTGCACAAAGTACCCAAGTATAAATTATATAATCTTATACTTCTGACTGACAAAAAAATATAACCTTTTACTAGTAGACTTTAAAAAATTATCCTTAATGCTATTAATAATTAAACAACATTTTAATATAAAGAGAAAGATCATAAGAATTCTTAAATTATCTGACATTATAAATAAGCATCTATAAGTAATTAAATTTGGCAAACGGGCCCATTGTGAAAAAACCTCAATGTTTTTTCAATAATTTATTAAATTATTCTCTCTATATAATATTAAAATTAAACAAGTACAGTCTAGTAATCAAGCAGCTTTACTAGTAATTATGTAATATACATCTTGCGACATATGTAAATAGTAATTATATAACAGTAAATCTAATAGTCCTAGTGAAAATTGTAATCTATATTGAGAGCAAAATCTAGATTTTGCATTATTTGAAGTTTGACAATTTATAAGTTAAAATTCTTGGTTTGTTAATTGGTGATATCTACTATAATAATATAAGTCAAATGAAAGATCAATCATTATGATATAGTATTTCGACAATATCATTGCCCTAGAGAAAATCTGCAGTAAACATGTCTAGCCCTTCTGTTATCTAATAATTAATACTATTCAGATTTATTACAAACTCTTGTTCACACTTTTTAATTTCATGAAGAAAAGGTTTAATAAAATCTTTAAAATCTTCTCCAAAAAGCACAAAGCCAATAACAAAATAGTTATATAATTGTTTTCTTATTTGATGTACATGTTACTAATTTGTAAATATATACCATCTAATGAATGATATACATTATGAAATATACCAAAGTCATCATAGTACAAGTTCAAAAAAAATTTTAAGATTGGCATAGTTGAATCGGGTGATAAATTTTCTGATATATATTTAGCAGGATGTTGATTTTAAAGTTTAATAGATCGAATCTTCCAATACCTATTAAAATGATATAGAATTCTATTGATAGATAAATCAAAATGTTGTGGAGACAGTTGATCTTTAAGCCAGACTATTATTTTTTGTATTAATGACAAAAAAATAAATAAAATATAATGATAAGTAGATATTTATATTACAACAGGTTTATACATATTAAACAATATTCTTGATCAATTATTATTTTATATATGATTATATAATTAATTAAAAATATCTATTTTAAGTAATTATATATATTGCAAAGTTGTTAGATTAGATTAGCTAAAAAGAGAGAATTTTGCTCAAAGATTTCTTTCTCATAACTTTTTACTTGACTCTGAAAGAACTCCTGGTCCAAAATATAATTTAGAGCTAATTGCAAAATTTTTTAACATATGTTGAAGGTAATTAAGCAAAAAAAAATAATAAACTTTTGTTAAATTTTTGACTATAGACAGCGTATTTCGAATATTAATTTGAACTGTATGATTTTAGATTTGTATTAAAGGTAGTTTTTCATGATATTTTTTCAGCTTTTGTAAATTAATAATTAGATAGTTTCTTTTAAATTGAGAATAAAGCAAAATTTCAATCAGGTCTTGATAGGTGGCTATTGCTAGAATAATAATTATAGTAAAATTAAGATTACAATTTAAATCTACTATAATTTACTATATTTTATAAAATACTTACATATTATATATTTTGTCACCAATACAAATATCACTATAGTTGTAAAATTTTCAAAGGTTCCAAATTAGCTTTCTTGGTTCCAAGTTAAATCAAATATTGTATCATCAAATATTCCTGTCATATTATTAATATCAATAAAAAATATTTCCTCTTCAGAGTTATCACTTTTTAAATTTGTGTCATATAAGTTGTTTTCATATTGTTCATTATTCAAGCTATTAGACTCAGATTCAAAATTATCAGAGCTTTTATTATTATTACAATTTTCATGTTGCCAACTTAGAAATTCATCAGAGTTATTTTGTTGAAGTTCATTGCTATTATCTTGTAATAATAAAAATAATTTAAATTATTCGAATATTTTGAAGATATATCTTTATGATTAATTGATAAATTTTTTGTAGCCTTAGAAGCTTTTAAACAAAATTGTAAATGTTTGGATTTATCAAAATATAAAAGCCTATATCATGACATAATTTAAATTAAAAAAATTTCTGGTGTTAGAGTTAGAGAAGTATACTAAAGCACTGTAAAGTATTGTAGTTTTTATATTAGTCATCTGATTTTTAATTTATCAATCAATTAATAAAAACTGCAAAGTATAAATATCTGTAATGATATTATATTTATATAATTTTATCGCCATTAATGGGTATTATACACTTTATTACTATATTGCCTTAATCGTTACATATTATAACTTATATAAATATTACAATTTAGTATAATTTTTATAATATTAACAATATTACAATTAAGCACTATGCAGTAATAAAGTATATGATACCTAATTTTACATAATCTTTTAAATATATAGATTCAAACTTTTTTTACTAATTATTTTAATTTGATCATTTTAATTATTAAATATGCAAAAAGTTAGTAGAAGAAAGCCAAATACAAGAGAGGTAAAAAAACAAAATATTATTTGCAAATATTTTTATATAATAAAATTTTAATAATAAATAATTTTAATCATATTGATCTTAGAATCTTTCAAAGATGAAACTTCAAATTCAAAAACAATATTTAATAAACATTCAAAAAAACCAGTAAATAAAATAGGTAATTTTTTTTATAAAATATTTTATTTATTAACTTTTTGGTTAATTTTTTTTTTAGAAAAATCTGTTAAATTTTCCTACACTCGATTTGAGCTAATTAATTTGAATAATACTATACCAACTAGTAATATTTTGTAGCTATATTAACCAAATCAAGACCTTGCTTATAATCAAACTAACTATCCAAAATCATTATATAATACTGTTAATTCTGTATTACTTTATAATTCAGATTATATATTACCTAATATCCTGATTCAATCTAATTTTTTAAATCAAAGTTTAGTTTATAATGCTACTCATCTATTAAATAAAATGCATATAGATTACAAGCTTCATCTGTACTTTATAATCAAAATATAGCTTATAATATTACTTATCCAGCAAACACATATGATCATGGCGCAGTTTTTGCACATTATTTTTTAGACAGTTATGACATAACAACTAATAACTAAATTTTGCCTAATAAATTTTACCATTTTTATACTATTACTATTACATAGTAATATTTCAATTGCTTAATTTATTTTGCACAAAGATACTAATTAAAAATTAAAGGTACAATTATAGAATGTATTTCCTGTCATGAATTTTTCAATAAATTCTTTATTTTGTAACTTTTTTTCATCCTTTTCAGCATTCGTACCCGTCTCTTTTTGAGTATTGCTTTCTAAAATATTATGACCACATTTAACTAGCGCAGTACATAAAACACAATTCTGAGAAGATACATCAAGGTCATCAAATGCGTTCACCAGTGATGCTTGTGAATCAACACGTTGAACATATAAACTTGCAGGAATAAATCCTTGAAGATGCCATTTTCCTTAGGGCACCACTTTTATCATGGCCGATATTTTTTTTGGGGCGACATTTTCCTTGTGGGCGACATTTTTTTTGCGGGCAACATTGACAGTACCTTTAGGAATAGCATCGACACTTGCTTCGGGGCATCATCTGGATAAAACAATAATTAATTAAATATTCATAAAAACAATTAAATATAAAAAATAATAATATATAAATTGTACCTTCCAATGCTTTATTTGAAACCTGCATTAATGCATTAAAAAATCTGTTAATTCCTTCCCTTTGTATTACCAATTTTGGTCTTTCATATGCAGCTAAACCTTTTTGAGACTTGTGTCTTGTAATCGACATTACGACATAATCAGAATACCCAAGTTCCTTCAGTAGTTAAACTGCAGTTTTTCTTCTCGAATGATTTGAAATGTTACGAGTACCGATCTAAATACCTACAGTTTCATATGTAGTATACAAGTAACCTCTCAATATTTGTTTTCCAAATGCATGTTCGTAATACCATTGTCCATTAAATTGAACTTAAAAAAATTAATATATTTAAGGAAAAAAAAAAAAAAAACACAATAAATACTTTACCTGAATTCGTAGTAAAAGGTTTCAAATAAAAATTAGTTACTGCAGTTACTAAACGTTTACTTAAATAAAATTCATAATCATCAATAATATCTTTGATATTTGGCAAGCTGATTACTTCTGCTTGTGCATCATAATCCTCAAGCCCCCACTGGTTGGTCTTGGACCGATACAATTTAACATCGATTCCTCCATCATATCTTTTAATAAAATTGTTAATTTCAAGGCTTATATGTTCACCCCCTCATAATGCTAATAAAATTGAATTAAAAAAAAAAATCTGCCATAACAATCTGTCTGGGCTATTGCGTTGCATCGTAGGGTGGTCAAGAATCTGTTTGACCTCATTTATGGTTAGTTCATCTGCCTCTATTTTTTCACCAAAGCTTTTCACAGAAAGATTTTTCAGTTTTCTATTAATGACTTGATTTAAATCGAAATACACCTTCGGATTGAGTATGTCGACTGGTTTCTCCATAATGGAGTGCTAATTAAGGTAACGCCAAATTGCCGCCAAGCAACTTCTTACTGAGCTAGCATGGTATTCACCACCATCATGTCGCTTCATTGCATAAATAAACTTAGATAATTGGTCTTCTAAGACCTTCTTGGAGCTTACTTCCTCAATTTTGCCTTCAAATCTGACATCAAAACAGAATTCTTCTAATAGATTTATCCACTGTTGTGTAGCCTTATGGGTGGCTTTCACTTTTGCATTTTTCCAGATTGTGTCAAGTTCCTCTGTCGATGTTCTATATACTTAACTTGCTAGAAAAATATGTTAGCAAGTCTTTTTTAGAAGCTAGTACAATACAGACAAATTAGGATTAAAAATTACCTTGGCTTTATTCACCTTTATAATAACAGATTTGGATTTGGGCATTGTAAAAAAAGCCTTTAAATATTTTTTTTTTTCTTCGTAATCTTGTAATGAACTCTTATTAGGCTTGTAATGGACTCTTATTAGGCTTCCGGCATGTGTTGTACTTTTGAAACCTTTAAGCAGTGCCAAATTCCCACGACCGACCTTCAAACTGGCGACCTCCAAATTTCACAGATTAGAACCTTTTGATGACCCTAAACTTTCAGCACAACAGAAAAATATTTGAGGCAAAAAAAAAGCACAAGGAACAAGAAAATATTTTAAGAATATGAGTGCCTTAAAAAAAATTTTTTTTTCGCTTTAAAGAGTATACAGTAATTTGTTTTTTTTACTGATTTATCTTTTTTTTTTAGATCAAAGTATTTATTGGCCAGGAGTTAATCGTGCCATGATCATAAATTGCCAGATAACACCATTATTAGGCAAATTGTTGTATAACAGCAATTTTTGCCCAATAATGTATACTTATCTACCACGTGTGTTGCTATTATCCTGTCGAATACCCATGACTCCGATACATCATGCCAGATAACTAGTTTATCTGGCAGGTATGACGTATATACTGACAGAACCATATTATTACCCAAATAAACTTTGATTAATAATAAGCATTGATAATTCGAATAATGGGTATATGGGCTTCCGTCAATAGAAATCAGGCAGATCTACATTTGAAAAAAAATTACTACCTTAAATTTCATAGCTTATATCTCGATGAATTTTAAAGATATATTGATGATTTAATATTCAAAAGAAAGCTTACGATCTAAGCTTTCTTTTAACTATTAAATCATCAAGATATCTTTAAAATTCATCGAGATATGAGCTATGAAATTTAAGGTATTAATTTTTTTTCAAATGTAGATCTGCTTGATTTCTATTGACAGCAGCCCATATAATGATTAAGGTGCGATTGTGTTTTGATCCAACTCTTTCTTTAATACTTCAATGTCATATAATAAACTGCCAACCAACAGAGACATTTTATAGCTCTTTAAACCTTCATGAGTACAAAATACGGATAAATGTATGACAAAATGGTTGCGAATAGTTGACAGATATAAAGATATACCTATTTGTAGAAACATCTAACTATCCACTTATCCGCAGTCTTGTTAGTAGATATTGTTATGCAAAATAATATAACAAGGTAATAATTAAACTTTCAGCAGTGTAATATTATATGTAATAGTTAGTTTATAATTAAGTAATGACCGAAGTGATTATTATAGTATATTTTGTCGATTATTACAATATTTAAGAGGTGATTCGTCATTAAAGGAATAGCAAAAGATTTTCACAAAGAGTACTATGTAAACTTCTTTTTTTACTAAGTAATTCTTTTTTTTTTTTTTGGTTTTAAGGTGAGGCCTTGCTCGTATCTTTATTAGTAATTCAGAGATAGTTACAACATAGAT